TTCCTGTTCTTCTAAAGGTTATAAACGAATTGTTTATTAGGATCCACACAGTCAAATGCCTAGTCAATGAAACACAAATAAAATTTTTCTGGTGTTCTCTTCTTTCAGCCAAGATCGATCTGACATCAGCAACTTTATCCCTTTTTATATATCCACTTCTGAATCTAATCTGAATATCTGGCAGTGCCCTGTCAATGTAATGTAATTTCTGTTGAATGTGTAAATAATTGTAAATAGTAAGATCCAAACTCAGACGACTGAATGGTACCAGGCCTAAATTCTAAATACCCAATTTGCAGAAAGCTATGGATGATTATATATTCATCCAACGTTATCATCCATAGCTTTCCACAAACTTAGGTGTTTAGAATTTAGGTACTGGTACCATTCTACTGTCTGGGTTTAGGTCTTAATATTTATAAACCTTGGATCACACAGGCTAGTGCACCTCTTCCCTGAGGACTTAGCTGACTCCTCTACTTAGATGGCTGCTTGTTTTGAGACAAGTCTTTAAGGTTCCAGACACTATTTTTTATGATAGCTTGGCATCACTTGATTTCTTCACCATACTTGGCAATGGCATCCATGTCTTTAATGATCTCCTCAGGAAGGGGAGTAGCAGGCAGGGCCATGTCATAAAATGATTGCTCTTTTATTAGGACTATGATCAAGTGAGAGCTGAAAAGCCATTCATATAACTATGTTTCTCTAAATCTCGGGTTCACTTTGAGAGACATCATTGTCATTTTATTGTAGTACATCATAAATCAGTCCCATGGAGGTTAAGCTAATTCTATTGATAGTAACCGTATTTTAATCAATGGAAACACACTGTTTATACATGTGTAGGACTTGTTATTAGACTTCAATACATGAATTGTTAAATATCTTCAAATCTTTGGTGACTGGACACCAGTTACACATGCCATAAGCATTGGAGATATGGCAATATTTTTAGTTGCACTCATTTACAAAGTCAGAACCATACCTGGTAGGCCAACACATGTCACATAAAGGGAGAGAAAGCATGGTCCATTTGTTGGTCCTGACTTGTCATTCATTGGGTACTCTCAGAGGAATAGGTCAGAATCCGCTCAAAATCCAACCACTACCAATTTTCTAACCCTGGGATAGATATTGTCTACTCCTTTTCCCACTAGGGCATTTGAGCTTAAAGTTCAAGAGAGTGTTTTCACTCCCTAGTTGTGCTATAAGTGAGTTTAAGGTTAAATCCAGTTCATTTAGTGGGGGTATCCAATCAGGACCCTTCTGAAGGGTATGGTGTACCTCGTAAGGACTTGGACAGACTTTAATGTTCAAGTTGTCTGTAGCATTTTGCCTGTCACCAGGGGTGGGTTTGAAACTAGGTCAAAATTGTCCAATTAGGAATATAATACTCAGAATACATTCCCCTTGGAGTCTAAGCAAAGTTAAGAATTTTCTCCAATGATAGGGTCCTTTGCCTGGCCCACCCACAATCAGAAGTACAATTACCCCCTCTAATACAAATATGACATCCCCCCTCTTCTTGATCTGATCTCCCAATAAAGTTAGTTAATTATTCTTATAGGATTATCTATTAATTGGGGATGACCATAGAACGCTGCTATGTGAGCCACTCAGTGCTATAAACAAGGGAGTGACATGTGGTTGTCATCATTTTTAGAGGCTTTTTGGATAGGTGTTTGGAGAGAGTATTAGAAGGGATTAGGATCACTGTACCTTTTTATGGGAATAGAAAGCCCAGCCTTTCTCCTGTGGGCAATCTGATGGTTTCAAACTTCTGACCTTGAGGTAAGCAGCCCAAAGTATAAACACTACAACACCAGGGATCCTGTGACATTTCCACTAGGGTTTCTCAGATAAAGAAACTTAGAAATATACTTACACAGCTTATAATACAGTAGGTTCTAAAAACAATGACTTATGATACTCATCCATTTCAAAAAGTTATACATACAAGTCCCCCTCTTGATAATGCCATGTAACATCAGTGGGAGAGCAGATACTCAGTAAACTCGCAAACCTTTCACTGCTATTAAATTGATTCCAACATAGTAACCTTATTGACCCAAGAGGAGGAAAATATGTGTATATGAGGGCTGTGGGAAGGGGGTGCTATAATTCTCACACTTTGCTCAATAGCTAATGCAGCATCCAAAGCACTAACTTAGAATTAAAATTTTATTAGTATATTTTCCAAATATACACAGGAATCTTTGTAAAAGCTTAGCCTCTTGAGAGGTTTTGCTATTTTATCAAAGAAGGCAATGCTGGGGAGGCTTTTGTGATTTTGTTGTTGTTGTTGTTGTTGTTTTTAATGTTTGCTTTGTTCCATACCCCTACTCCTGCTGGGTTACCTGAATTGTTTTATTTGTGTCTCTGTGGGAAAGCTGGTGAAATGATTTTATTAGTTTGCTCATTGACTGAACTTAAACCTAATGGAAGACAATGTCAACACTTGTTTAGCTTTTTTTTAAAAATTAAATTAAAAATTTTTTTTTACTTGTTTAGCTTTTAAGGCAACTGCAACTTCTGATCATTTGACCAGACCTATTTTTATTTCCTTTCCCTGCACTGTTTGTCTAAGCAAATTTAAAGCAAAATATTGAAAGTAAATATTATTTTCTGCCTGTCACATGATCAAGACCTGAGATGATAGCTTCACGAGCAGGATTCACTGGTGGTGTTAGAGTTTTGAAAATATATTTTAAACATATTTGTTCTAGAAAAATATGCCTACTACTGTTTTTGGAAATCTTGTGGGGTTGTGTGGCTTGCCTCTTCAAGACTCTCTGGGAAGGAAATTTTGTGGACTTTTTATGCTTATAACTCTCTTAATTAGTAAGAAAGCTTTTTATAAAATGTGGGGTGAACAGAGTGACAGAAACTGCTAGCAAAATAGTGGGCTTTCTCAAAGATTCAGGTGTTCATTCTTTTTTAATCATATCTGTTTTCAGCTTAGGTTTTTAAAACTTTTTAAAGAAAATGTTAGGTTCCCAGTAGTTGTCGTTAGGTGCCATGGAGTCTGTTCTGACCCTTGGGGACCGTATGCAAGAAAATGAAGCATCACTCAGTGCGTGTGAGCTCATTGGCTGTAGTCATTGTGTCAAAGAAGCCTTTGAAACTCTCAGTCTTTTCTCCATTTATCATTTATTGATTCCATTTTAAGCACACACACCCTTTCTTTCTATGTTGAGGTCCAATCCCTATTGAAAGCTATAGTCTGTGATCTCTATCAGTAAGTGCTTGAAGTCCTCTTTATTTTCAGCAAGCAAGGATGTGTCATTGGCACATGTTTAGTTGTTATTGAGCCTTCCTCCAATCTTATGGTAGCATTCTTCCTATAGTCCAGATCCTCAGATTATTTGTTAAGTATACAGATTAAATAACTATGGTAAAAGGATACAACCTTGACAGAACACATAACTTTCCTGATTTTAAACCACTAAATATTCTTACTCTGTTTGAAAAAACTGCCTTTTGGTGTCTGTATGCATGAGCACAATTCAGTGTTCTGGAATTTCCATTCTTTGTAATATTACCCATAATTTTTAATATAATACACACAATTGAATGTCCTTGTATAGTCAGTAAATCACAAGTAAATATCATTCTGGTGTTTTCTACTTTCAGCCAGGTTCTATCTGGCATTAGCTCATTTCACATCATATTCTGAATCCAGCTTTTATTTCTGACAGTTCCCTGTTGATTTATTACTTCTAGCATATTTAAATTATCCTCAGGAAAGGTTTACTTGCATGTGATTTTAATGATGTTGTCTGATAATTTTTTTCTATTACATTTATCTTGGTAGCTATCTACAGTGCTACATCAGTTTTTTGAAACATCTCAGTTGGTATTATATAAATTACTAGAATCTCTCTTTTTTTTCTGTTGCTAATATGAAGTGTAGTTGGAACTTTGTTAAAGTCCACTGTCAATCAGACTTTTTCCTTAAGTTGTTGATCACATTCTACCTCCTGAAATGATTGAGTGTTGAGTAATTGTTTTTAGTATCATGATTTTTGTATTCCATCTTTTTTATACTCACTGCATCATTAACACTTTTATACTAAACCCTTTAATATGGAAACTCCAGACTTGAATGTTTTCTTCAATTCTTTCAGCTCACGAAATGCGGAGTGCCTTCTTCCCTCTTGGTTTTCTAACTCCAGCTCTTTGCACATTTCATTTTAATACTGTCTTTGTCTTTGAAAAATGCTGTTTAGCAATTTTACTTTATCATTTCTTCAATTTTCTTTAAGGCTCTATATTGTAAAGAACTCATGTGAGAGCTATTCTGACATCCTTCTTGGTCTCTTCTGTCTTTGAATATCCTATTGATTTCTTTCATGTATGTTGTCCTTGATGTCATCGCACAATTTATTTGGCTCATCTCTCATTTGAATTCAAGGCATCCAACCAATCAATTCTTAAGATGATCTGAAATTCCAAGTGGGATCTACTCATGGTTGTACTTTAACTCTCTTGAGTGTGTTTTACTTTCCTTCAGATTTCCCCTGAACTTGTATATAAACAATAGGCTTTATGTTCAAAGTCTATTCTTAGACTTACTCTAATTGTATTTGAAATCCCAGTTGCATAACTTCCAGCATCACAGTAATACACAAGCCACCATTGTATGACAAACTAAAAATGAACTGTGGGTTTCCCAGTTAACAATATGTACATTTTTTATAGAGACAAAGCTGACTGTCTTAATTGGTAGGAATTTTACATGCTGACAGACTCATCTATTACAAGCTCACTGAAGAGCAGGCCCTTGAGGTTCTTCTTTGTGAATATGAGGAGCACAGGTACATTTTGAAGATTTGCGGTATAAAATCCAAACATTTTCCTTAGCTAAAGTATATTTTTTGTAATTTAAATAATGAAACAAAATGGTTCTATTGCTCTTCATTTAGGGTTAAAATTATGCTCTTTCGTATATTGTTTGAATTTAAACTAACAGTTCCCCTTTTCTCTTTCATGAGCAGGTTGTCAAGTTATTAAGCAACAAAAGATCTCAAGCGGTGGGAATATTGATGTCTAGTCTTCATTTAGATATGAAAGATATACAACATGGTAAGTGCAAAAGAAAAGTCAGCTTTTGAATAATAAAATTTTAGTTGAAGGATTTGAAATTTATTGGCAAATTATTTCAAACTAAGAGTTTCTGTATAAGTATATTTCCTCTACTTCTAAACTTTCATGCTTGATTATGAATGTAAGAGTTTCTACTAGAATCGACTGTTATTTTTATACCTGTTAAGGACCTTATTATCTTTGGACATAGATAAGCATCATTAATAAATGATTAATGTTTACACAATAAGAAGTACTCATACTGTGTGCTGTGTGAAGACCACATCAGTATTATTTCTGGATGCCACACTGGGAAGCGTTCATAAGAACTGAGTGATATGATATTTTCTGTACATCCCACTAACCATGCTCATTCAAAATGCTTGGACAATATAATTTCTAGCAGAAAAAATATGTTGAGACTTAAGTATACACTTAAGTATTTGAGGAATAATGAAGAAAAGTGAACTTAAAATTGTCCTGCATATCAGCTTGAATTAGTTTGGAGAAATACAGGTAAGTATGTTTTAAGAATGCTCTTAATGCAGGAGAAATTAATACCTTTTCAGGAGGCTGAGTGAACATCATCTCAAAGAACCAGTATTCTTAAAGGGTTATTGTGTTGAACAGCAGGTGGGATATCTCTTTTGGGTCTCCTGTTCCAAGATATGGTGAGGTGATGAAATTGTCATTAAGTAATTTCATTGCATATTACTTTTTGGAAAGAAAAGTTGATTCTTATTTGAGATACTATGATGTACTCTCGTTGGTTTTTCTATAGATAGGTGGATTTTTCTTTTTTTACTAACAATTATTGAAGATTTAAAATTATTCTTATCTTCTTCATGTTATTGATAGTGATCTTCATTGATGGAAGCAGTAATATCATTAAAAATTTTTTTTGCATTATAAAATATTTTCTATATTCATTACTAGGGTGGTATTTAATGTTCTTTAAACTGGCTTTTGTCCCAATGTTATAGTAAGTGAATTGGCAGTCATTCCGCATATGCTTATCACATATGCAGTGAGATATTGCCTCATGGTAAATAAAACCAAAATCATTGTCATTGAGCCCAAGCTGACTCATAGCAACCCTTTAGGGCAGGTGGAACTGCCACCATGAGTTTCTGAGACTAACTGTTCACTGGATTACAAAGCCCGGTCTTTCTCCCATGAAGCAGCTGGTAGTTTCAGATTGTTGATCTTGTGGTGAGCAACCCAACGTTTCACCACTATCCCACCAGGGCTCCAATGGTGAATAGTGAAATTAAATATATACCCATATTGTCTTTTAAGTTACCCAGAATCTTAGAATAGACTGAAACAGATTGCATTAACTAATGGAATGCCAATTTACCTCTTAAAGAAACGTAGTTTCAAGAGTAACAGAGCTGATAAATCATGAAAATATGTAACTGTGGTTTGGTTTGTTTGTTCATTTAGCATGTGTTGTTATGGATGTAAATTTTATTTATTAAGCTTAAAGTATTGCTTGGAATAATTCATAAATACCACAAACTTTGTATGACCTGTCAGTTGATGAAAAACTCTTAATCACAATTTAAGTTTTCAATGAATTATTTAGATGGTGAGGAAACATCTCTGGCTGAAACATTTAGGGTCATATTCATATAAGAAGATGCCAAGGCTGGTGCCAAGGACTTGGTGTTTCTAAAGCTCACAGATGTAGCTCATTTGAGTCATAGAATAAAATCTGAAAATTATGATGTGGTTCTTTCCTTCCATCAAATATTCCACTTGGTTTGACTTAATAATAAGAACCTTATGAATAAAGGAGTCTTTCTAACATCTGTGTCTATGGTAAAGCTAGTTCAATGAAAATTTGCTGGCTTTAACATGCAATGTTAAAGAATGTAAGCACTTAATGGAATCATGCAGAATTATGCAGAAATTTTATTCTGTTAGAATTTAAAATTACTACTGATGTTTCCTGGAAACCTGCAGACCGTTTTCTAAAATTCAGATGCTGTAAAAGCTTAAATAAGTTGTGCTTTTTAGTGAATAAAGTCTTCTGTCTCTCTTTGGTCTCTTGAACCATGATTTACAGAAGTGGATCACTGTGGCCTTTAAAATTAATTACATTCCTGTCAGGTCATGTCTCTCCTGAGAAATCAACGGAAGCATACAGTCATTAATTCTGGCCTTAGAAGTGGCCAACCCATTAATAAGGATCTCTGATATCATTTTATCAAAGAAGAAACAAAGACTTTTAGTGGTCACATTTTTTTTTGTTGAAGTTTCTCAGCTTGTTGATGAAGCAGACTTGACTTGTATCCAGGCCGCTTCTAAGAGATCCTGTTCCTTTTATCGAGTTGCGTCTCTTTTCAATGATTGTGCATTTGGCTCAACCAGCATTCATATTTCTAACATGAAGTTGATATTATATTGTGATGAACAATATGAATTATTTTCTCAGTTACCCTCCTTGTCAAGATGCTACCAAATGCTGGAAGAGTATTTTATTTGCATCATTTCTATTTTAAAGTACCTCGTCAAAAGTGATGTTGGCATGTAAGCTTTGGATAATAAGTGTCAAATGGCCCCTTGCATTCTTACCTCCATTTCCAGAGTTCCACATCATGCTCAGAATGGAAACTGAATGAATGTAGGCTATTTCCCTCAGCAACAGCCTTGAAAAAATCTCATTGTCAAATGTTTTCAAAAGTTAGGGAGATGATAAAGGATTGAAATCTTGATGTATTTTACTAATGTGACAAATGTAGCAGAGGTAGCTTAAAATAATGATCTGTGTGTGTTTTTGTATATATGCGCAAGTTCTAGTAAAGGCCAGTGCTGCTAGGATGCATTGCTGCTAGGATGTAGCATATTAGTCTATCTGGTAACTTCTAAATGATCCTGAAGTTTCTGGCAATTTTTTAATGAGGAAAGGAAACTGGTACAACAACTATAAAGAAAATTTAAATTTGATAGTTTGGAAGAATTTAAATTCTAAGGAAGAGGTGCCTTCCAGAGAGGCTTTGCCATTGTTTATGCTAGGCATCTAGGGATACTATTGGTTTGTTAGTTGGTGTGTTCCAGCAGCCAATTATGCATGGCAGCCCCATGCATAGTAGAATAAAACGTTGCCAGCAGATTTGGTAAATCTCCTACATTTTCTTTGTAGTTCTTCTTAGTCTGGAAGTTCCATTGAAATCTGATCAGCATCATAGAGACACACTGACTGAGGGATAATAGATGTGAATGGGATGTACTGGCTAGAAATTGAACCTCATATCCCTCATGAAAGGTAACAGTTCTAATGAACATTCAATGGCCTTGCCATCTACTATGATTTAAATCAATACCAAGGGATCCTTCCTGTGGCATGGTATATTTTCTGAAGAGTATATCTTTTTGAAGTCCCAAGTAATTATAGGGAAGTTATCTCTTTAGAATCTATACAAAGGATGGGTGGTAGATTTAATATTTGTTTCTGGTATTTTGAAGCCATCAATATAAAGCTAATGAATATTTAGTGAAATAGGCATTCCGAGCAAAAGCAGATTCTGAGATGACTCACTTCTCTGAGTTCTCCTCCCCAGTTTTGGGAGGGCAATTTCTTATTTTCTTGTCATCTTTGTTGCCGTGATGATTTGCTAGCAAATGAATTTTACCTAGCATGTCTAGTTGTTCTTAATGGGATGATTGATTCATGACATCTAGTGAGTCAGTCCTGGAAACTGGTATTATGCATACCTACCTTTTTGGTGGTAGTTGAGTTTTGTGAATCTGTATCGAAGTTACCATACAACCTTGGCCTCTTATTTCTGATGCCAATATAGTATTCAGAGTTTGAGGTTCATTTTGGTAGATAACAGTTGCTGCAAGATAATTGATAGCTTCTTGAGGCTCAGCTTTAATCTCCACTTCCCTCCATCCAGTCAATCTCACTATAAGGTGACCAGCTTTTAACATTGGTAAAGCGGGACACCACTGATAAAACACATATCCTGGCGAAATAGCCACATGGCAGCCAAAAAACCGTATATCCTAGCTTGCCGTGCATTCTTTCCAAAAATCGGTACTTTTTAAAAACATTGCAGGATGCGGGAACAATTGCTAAAAATCGGGACTGTCCAGCCAAAAGTGTGATGTCTGGTCACCTTACAACTAGGCAGAATCTTTACATAGTTTATCATCCAACCAGGTACACTTTGGAAAATACAGTAGATACTGTTAATAGAGTTTCCCAAACAAATCAATAATGTGGCATAACAGATACAAATAAAAGCAAGTTTCAGATCTAATTTTCCCCCATACACAAGCCTCTAATAAATAAACATTTATTAGCCAGCAAAGGAAGCTCTGATTAAGAACTGAACTCTAACCATGGTGGTTTACAGTGTAGAAAACATTATATACGGTCACTATGAATTAGAATTGACTTGTAGGCAATGAGTTGGCCAGCAAAGGAGAGGGGGAAGGGGATATTTAGCCAAACTTGCTGTGTATACTTATAGTTATCTAACTTTCTGCCCTTATAGATGCTATCACTACCATCTTGTTTCCTAATTAATGCGAACACATCACAGAGACAGGATTCTATTGCCCTTATAGTCTATTGTAGGCAACTATTTCAGTCAGGGACGGGACCATTTAGGGGCCTCAGGCAGCCTCCCCAAGATCCAAGTTGCAACTTTCCTAGATATTCATAAACTCCCTGTGGAAGGAGAAGTGCAATATCCCTAAGGCATTTTAGCTATCCTGACATATATCTTGAAAACATTTAATTTCACCAATAAAAACGCATTTCAGACATTAGTATGCTAATTAGTAAAGTTTTAGATAGATATTTATCTTTAGAAACAGATATCTTTCCGGGTGGCATGAACAGTTAGTAGGCTTATGCTACTAAATGAAAAGTTAGTGGTTCAAATCTACCTAGAACCTCCTTCAAAGAAAGACTTGGAAATCTACCTTTGAAAAACTAGTCATTGGAAGCCCTGTGAAGCATAATTCTACTCTGATACAAACAG